AGGTAAACTGGCCCACGGGTCCACGGCTGTCTCAATCTTTACAGAAGCAGGTTACTGCATCTTTCTCCCTTGGAACAGATGGTGGTTTCGAACCACTCATCTTTTGGTTAGCAACTGAGTGATTTAGAGGGGCTCTAGGTAGGTTCTAACTACCAATCTTCTGATGAGTCGTTGAACACTTTACCACTGGAGCCATCCAGGGACACTGAGAAAATGACTAATTGCCAGACACAAGCAGGGGCAGGGATGGGTGGAGGGGTGGAGGGGCTAATAGTAAAGCTGACTGCGGCTGTAGTAGTGAATGTCCAGAGCTTGTAAAACCAGCACTCTTACTATGCATTCCAGTGATGAAACCATGAGATACCTCATGACATGGAAGGATCTGGAAACCAGTATACTAAGGGACCTTAGTAGATGGGGGCAGAAAAGAGACTGTAACAGAAGTAATATCTAAAAATTAATAACAGATATCAAGTTGCAGCATCAAGGAGAAATAAGGACCCAAGATGGGACAAATACAAAGAAATTACACCTAGGGGCATCAGAGTAGTGCTGTTGAACGCAAAGACAAAATCATCACAAAAGGACACATTGTACAAGTCCACTACTATAAGGATAAGCACCAAGAGAAAGGCAGATTCATGCTTCCAGGGTATGCAATTCAATAAACCAGTCTACCAAGCAACATGGTAGAAAACCTGACTAGTGCCCAAGAAGCATACACCACCCTCTCGATAAGTAGATCCTAAAAATCACTTCAACAGAGGAGACCTCAATTCAAGAGGGATCAGATTTTCAAGATCTTTCTGGGGAAAGGAAGATGACTATTTAGTTGCTGTCATATAAAAATGTGGTTGGGTCACCCCAAACCAAAAGACTATCAGACTGATAAGCGAGCCTGATGGGAAAATCAAGTCAAGAGAGGGAAGAGAAGCATGGTCTCAGAGAAGGCAAGTGCATTTCGGTTGGCAGAAAAATGGGGTAGACCATCCTCCCAGCAGGGAAAAAAAAAAGACTAACAATACTTATACAGACCCCTATACAACAGGGCCAAAGTGTCCCTGTGAGTTTCCGAGACTGTAACTCTTTACGGGAGTAGAAAGATTCATCTTTCATCCGAAGAGCAGCTGGTGGTTTTGAACTGCTGACATTGTGGTTAACAGTCCAACACGGAACTACTACTATAAAATATAACAAGAATGTTATCATTATAACAACAAATTGAAGAGAGAAAATAACAAAAGGCATTTAAGAGCATAAAAGAACTGATTATAATATGAGGTATTCTATACTCATGGATGGAAAGATAGTGGCCTACCCAAATTAATCTATGAATTAAAGGTAATTCCAATCAAAAACTCAAGAAGACATTTCATGGAAATTGGAAATTTATTCTAAAATTCATACAGAAGGTCAAGATAAACTAGAGACAAAGAAACTTGCCTACTATAGAACAACATTTATTCCAAGACCATATAGTTAACAGCATGCTTGTTAGATACAGAAACAGACAAATAAATTAATGGAATACAAAGGCTAGAGAGGCCAAATACAGTGCCAAGTATATAAAGGACCTTAGTAGACTGGGACAGTAAAGAGACTGGAACAGAACTAATATCTGAAAATTAATAACAGATATCAAGTTGTAGCATCAAGGAGAAATAAGGACCCAAGATGGAACAGTACAAAGAAATTAAACCTATGGGCATCAGAGTAGTGCTGTTGAGCCCAAAGACAAAATTTTTTAAAAGAAAGTTTTAAAGACAGATTATTGTTAAAGAATCAAAAGTAAAATGTATTAGTAGAAACTGAAAGCTATACAATTGTGTATTATAGATTCAAAATGCTAAAAGATGTCCAAACTAGAATTCCTTACTCAGAAAATACATCATTCAGGAAATAAAGTAACATATTCATACCAAAAATCAAGTATTGTCACCATAACACCTACACATATGGAAATAATAAAGGGTGTTTTTCAACCAAATTGGAAATTCAGAAAGGAATAATGCATAATTTAAAAATAAATAAATAAGAGGTCAATATATATACACTGACAACATAAACAGTAAGAAAATGCAGAATACTGCTTAAAATGTATATAAAATCAGAACAAACGACTCATATGTAACAAAACAGCATATAATGGGGGGGTGAGTCTCTCCCTCCTAGAAAAGATTAGCTGCTGGAAGCCGTTTTGAATCTGTTCACACCGATCACTGGTACCTTGTCTCATTTCACTGGCCACAGTTTTGAAAGCCAGTCAGTCAGTAACAACCATACCTCTAAATTCACACAACCATCCAGAATATCACTCCAGTAAGTACTGTTTCTGAATGTCAGGCAATGAGCAACAACCAGGTAAGCAAAGGCTTCTTACCTCTGATTTCAAACCACTCTCACCTTTGAAAGCCTACCAATAGATTTCCCTGATTTATTCAAGGAGCGAGAAACATTTTCATTCAGTTATTGAGTTATTCCTACAAAATGAGCAAATATTTGCAATGGCCAGGTACTTTTTTTAATGTCGACAGGATACACATCCTTATATCAGTAACATTAACAATGGTACTCTTTTTAGATAATAAGTAAATGGGGGGGGGAATGCCTTCACACTGGAAAACAGGAATACAAATATTCCTGAGATTTAACAAAGACTGTTACTTTGAGCTGTGACCTAGAAGGTCAGCAGTTTGAAACCACCAGCCACTCCTCAGCAGAAAGATGGGGCTTTCTACTCCCATTAAGAGTCATGGGGGCCGGGAGGGGAAAAATGAGCTGATACCAAGGGCTCGAGTAGAAAGATAATGTTTTGAAAAGGATGATGGCAACATATGTACAAATGTGCTTGACACAATGGATGTATGGATTGTTATAAGAGCTGTAAGAGCCCCCAATAAAGTGATTTTTTTTTAAAAGTTAAAGTCTTGTAAACCCTGTCCTATAGGATTGCTGAGAGTTAGAACTGACTCGACGGTAGCAAGCTTGATTTTTTTGTTTTGGTCATCAGGGAATGGAGCCCTCATGGTGCAGTAGTTAGCACTAGTCATTAACTGAAATGGTTCAAACCCACCTATGGTTCTGCAGTAAAAATATGTGGCAATCTTTTCCATAAAGATTACAAATTTTGGAAACCCTATGGGACCATCCTATTTTGTCCCACAGGGTCACTGTGAGTCTAAATCAACTCAGTGGCAACAGATTTGGTTTTAGGGGTTTGTTTCTTGGTCATTAAGGTATCACCAAGAGACAATATATCCCACAGTTCCAATTACAATTATTTATCTCTTTTGTGCAACTCTGATTCGCCACATCAGCCCAAGACAAAGATTCTGCAGGGATAACAATTAGACAATCCCAAGTGGGTGGCTTCCCAACAAGCTCAGTGGACTATCTTCTAACAAAGAATGTAAAAAGATACAATCTTTCCCTTTGGTATCTGGTGGAGAAGATTCCTGAGGATAATGTTCCATCATATTTTCCTTTGATAACAGAAGTATAAAATTTGTAATTATAGTTTGCAATCATAGAGTGTAATTATTGGCAGCAAGAAATAAATTACCTAGACCAAATACTTCCTTCCTATCAATTCAAAATGGTAACATTAACATTTAAAATCAAGAAGATATAGACTAAAGTTTTTCCATTTCACATATTTTCACTTCAGAGTCCTATTTAGTACCTAAGTAACAAATGAACTGAGTTGAGCACCAAGATGGTTTTATACATTTTTCAAAGGAGAGTATAATGATTTTCAATTAAAGTATTGTTCTGCCATTCAGAAAGTCATCTTATTTACATAAATGCTAGTTATGCACCATAAATATTCTAAAATATATACTTAGAATGTGACAGGCCACTTAATCCATTCTGTCAAAACAGAGATTATTTTAATTTCTGTTTCACTTCCTTGAAAACAAATCTTATTTACTTTATTTTCTCTAAGAGAAAAAAAAATTAGTAGGATAAACTTACAACGCACTTTCCCAATCAAACTTTAAAATGATTCTGGTTAACCACAAATTTGACTCAAGTAGTTAAGTACTTTTGCTGAATGTATTTTACTGAAACATGTCTGACAACATATAATAATGTCATATAGTAATTGGGCTAGTACTCTCTGGAATTACAAATTATTTCACTGATTACTCTTTTTAGCCATTCACATATAAAAAGATGAATTTTTCCTTATAAGTTACCTAAATAAACTAAATGCATTGCTAATATGAAGAAACAATTTTATAAATAGCCATTTTATTTTGGGTGAAAACATAACCATAAAGCTTTGGGTAAAAAAAAAAAAAGAGCTTTGGTTACATGGCATATTTCAGTATGTTTAGTTAACTTAAAAAGAAACAGGTATTCATTTGCAAGTGCACACACACATAGTCTATCTCGATCACAACGTATTTTCTGATAAGATTTGAGCAAATACAAAAGTATTGTGTTATTTTAAAAGTTCAAAAGTAATATCTTCAATTGTTTACCAACTATAAATTATTCTACAAAATGTTTGAGATCAGGAATATCATGACTATTATGAAATCTAAGTAATATTCTAACTACAATTCTTTTTTTTTTTTAACTGGAGGAGAAATCCCCGCCTTTCTCCCTCAGGGTGGCTGGTGGTTTCAAACTGCTGATCTGGCAAGTAGCAGCCAAATGGGTAACCACTACACTGCCAGAGCTTCTCTAACTATAATTCTTGAACTCATATGAATATGCTCACTACACACACATGGATGTGAGTATGGAAAGGGGGTGTACAGGAGCAGTTTCTTGGTGAAACTGAGAGCAGTTTCTCAAAAACTATCCTAATAAATAAAATAATCATGAGGTTCCTAAACTTGCCATAAAGGAAAAGAGATGAGGCAGGATTTCACACCTCATACTAGATCCTCTGTAAAACCTTTTCTATTTCCTTTGTAACAAAAAACCTATTCAGCCACATTCTAAATATGAGTCTTCAGAGATTAGCAAAGTAATTTTGAAATACTTACTGTCTTATTTCGTAATCTAATTATGTCTGAGACAGATCCAGCTCCACAGTACTCCATGACAATCCAGAGGTCTGTGTTCTTAAAGTAACTGCCATAGTACTTTACAACATACGGGCTGTAAAAAAAAAAAAAGACTCAAATTAAATTTAGTTAATTCCCAAATAACTCTTTTCTTAATCCCAATGCACACTATTTCAACATCTCATAATGTCCTAATAAGTAACCTTAATAAGTAACTATCTACTGGGGGTCAGGTTGTAGATGGATATCTAGGGCTGACCAAATGCACCTGATTAGACTTTCACTCATTGATGAAATTTAACAGGATTACAGACCAGAGAATGCCCAATTGCTCTGAGTGATTCCCAAGCAAATCAGGGTTCGTTTTGGCAAACAATTTACTTTTTAACTGAAGAAACATGTGAAAATGTTTTTTAAACAAAAGCATTTTAAAATTAAGTCTTCTACTTTAAAATGTTATTTCAATGTGGCCTAATTTTTTTCTTTTAATTTCTCTTCTCTTTTGACCATGAAAATGCTATGGAAAAGCATTAATCTATTTTATTCTAACATCAAATAATTAAATTAACTATTTAAATTATTTCTGCTCTGAAATTCTAATCTATCCCCTCAAGAACAGAATAAACTATGCACATGGTCAAGTTGTTTGTGAAAGGACAAATGACCACTACCATTAATATGTACTAAGGGCCTCTTACATACACTGATAAGCAGCCCTGGTAGTATAATGCTTATATGTAAGGCTACAACATGCAAGGTCTGAAGTTCAAAACCGCCAATAACTGCAGGAGGAAGACAGGGCTTTCCCCTCCCGTTGCAAGTTACAGTCCCGGAAATTCAGAGACAGTTCAGCTCAAAGAGGCAGAGTATCCATATTCACAAAATAAAATTATAAGGATGGGGAAAATGGTAGAATAAACTAAGTAGTGCATAGTTTACAAAAGTTCACTAGAGGAAGAGGTTATGATGGTACCATCACAGAGAACTTCATGGAAGATGTGGGATTTTAATTGAACTATGAAAAGGGGGTTAAAAGTTCAAAATTCAAGTAGAGGAGATAAAAGTTTTCCAGAAAAGCAAATCACTGTGAGCAGAGGCACAAAAATCAAAAGGGATTAAACCAAAAATGGCACATTCGAGGAAATTGTTCAATAGATATTTCTGAGTAACTACTTTGCAAGACATCGATATAAGACAAATGTGATCTATTAACCAAAACATCAGAAGGAAAAATGGCAAGTACTATAAAGAACCCTACTGTGGAGACCACCAAAGGAGGTGGCTGAGAGCAGACTCCAGTTAGCCACACTTCTCAGAAGAGCTTTCACAATTTGAGCTCATTTAGGGGAAAGGTGGAGTGATTTGCTGGGAGCTGGAGGGTCTAAATGGGTCTATGGCTAAAATCCCACCTGCTCTATCTCTAGAGCTTCTCGATACTTCTTATATAGACTTGCTTCCTGACTCATCTCCTGCACATAGACTTCTCCATTAGAATTTGCCCCATACAACTGACAAAATTACCTTCCTTAAAAACCAAAGTAAAATAACTTGATCATACCATTCCCCTGATTGAAAAACTCCAGTGACCCTCCCAAAAGTAAAAGTCTTAACTGCTTCACATTACAAAAAACTCCTTTATACCAACAACCTTCTTCAAAGAATTGGAAAAACTGGTCACCAACTTCATATGGAGAGGTAAGAAGCCCAAAATTAGCAGAGAACTCCTCAAGAAGAAGGACAAAGTCAAGGGCTCGCTTTACCTGTGGTAGAAACAGCATGTACTGGTACAAAGCCATATACTCAGACCAAGGGAAAAGAACAGAAAATCCAGAAATAAAACCATCAGCGTATAGACAACTGATCTTCAACAAGGGCCCAAAAAGCATCAAGTGGGAGGTGGACGCCCTCTTTAACAAGGGGTGCTGGAAACAATGGATATCTACCTGTAGAAAATTGAAACAAGATGCTTACCTCACCCCATGCACAAGAACAAACTCAAGGTGGATCACAGACCTAGAAGTATAACCCCAAACTATCAGGACCATCAATGAAGGAATCGGAACAAACCTACGAACCTTGGCTCGGGGAATACATAGGCTAATTGCAATAAGGAAGGGTACACACACAGGTGAATCTGAAATCAACAAGTGGGATATACTAAGGATAAAACACCTGTGTGCATTGAACAATTTCACCAAGAGGGTAACCAGAGAACCCACAGATAAGGAGAGGATTTTTAGCAGTGACATAACAAAGGGCTTATTACTAAAACCTACAATACCCTCTTAGCCTGCAAAAAGCGGAAAACAGTGAATCCCCTGAGGAAGTGGGCAAAAGACCCAAAAAGAAGTTTCACTAGGGAGGAGACCTAAAGGGCCAATAAACATATGAGAAAATGCTCTGATCATTAGCCATCAAAAATGCAAACCATGAGATACCATCTAACACCTTTGAGGATAGCCCAAATCAGAAAAGCAGAGAGCAACAAATGTTGGAGGGGATATAGTGAGATAGAAACTCTCCTCCACTACTGGTGGTCATGTAGATACATGCAGCCCCTGTGGAAAGCCATCTGGTGATATTTAAAGCAAATGGAAATTGAGCTACCTTATGACCCAGCTATCCCTCTACTGGGCATATACCCAGAAAAGGTAAGAAATAGACCACGACCAGTCATCTGCGCTCCAATGTTTATTGTGACAGAATTCACAATCAATTGCAAAGAATTGGAAATAACCTAAATTTCCATTGATAGTAGATAAGAAAACTGGCACATAGACACAATGAAGTACTACACATCACTAAAAATTAACACTGATAATCACATGAAGCATATCATTTCATGGGAAGAGTTGCAGGAAATTATGCTAAGTGGAGCTAGCCAATCACCAAAGGACAAATACAACATGAGTCCCCCGAGATAACTATAATCAGCACAGTAGGTATAGAAGAAAAGCCACTTGTCTCACACTATAGGGGTTGAGGTACAAGCAGTCATGTAGGGGTCAGAGCAAACCCAAGGAAGTACATGTTATTCCAATACAAAGAAGGGGGAAAGAGGAAGGAGGAGGAAAAATGGAGGGGGAAATAAAAAAGGGGAGATGGAAACAATAGGGGGAAACGATGGCATGGGGGAGCAGGGCACTAACCCACCCAGGGGGAGAGTATTGGCTATGTCTCCACAGATTGAGAGTGTGCATGCAGATCCCACCACAGTGCACCCAACCTTGAGGGCAGCATAACCACATGGAGCAATACATGGAAAGAGTGGGCTATCAGGCCAGCCCGGATCAAAGCCAAACTGACCCCCCTCCCTAGAACTAGAAGCAATCTAGTTGAGAGGAATTACTAATAATAGACTTCAGGCTAGGAGGAGCTGCTCCTGGAATACCCCCCAGAACCAGTGGGGAGATAGTCATAAAGGTCAGTGGACAGACCTGGAATTATGTAAGCTATTTTGTTTGTTTTGCTAGGTTTCTTTTCTTTTCTCTTTTTATTCAATCTTTTGTTTTCTTTTTGTTTGGTCTCTGTTACTGTTGGTTTGCCTACATATATAAGCTAGGCATGGGAAGCAAGCTCGAGGATAAAGCAATGGGACCAATGGTTCTAGAGGCAGTTGGGGGGAGAAGGAGGCTTGGGAAGGGAGCAGTGAGCAAACAACACCACTAACAAAAACTAGGGAATAACTAGGGCATTAAAATCAACAAGAATGAGGAGAACGTAAAGATCCTGGGGGTGTTGGAGCAACAGCAATCTAGTTGAGAGGAATTACTAAGCAGCAGAAGAAGGGTGAACATGATGGTGGGGCAGGAGGAAGGTAAACGGAAACAGAGGAAATATCTAGGAAACAAAGCTATGGATAGAGGTATAAGCATAGGCGTGTACACAGTAAATACATTAATTCATAAAAATAGAGATATTGACCTATGTACATATATTTATATGGCAATACACTGAGGTAGTGGATGGACTTCTGGCCTCTGTTCAGGCCCTCCCTCAATGCAAGAACACGTTCTTCTAACAACCTGGCATTCTGTGATGCTCACCCTCCCGGCACAATCACTGAAGACAAAATGGGTACATAAGCAAACATGGTGAAGAAAGGGGATGGTGCCCGGCTATCAAAAGATATAGCATCTGGGGTCTTAAAGGCTTGAAGTTAAAGAAGAAGCCATCTAGCAGAGAAGCAACAAGCCCACCAGCCTGTGCAATCATGAGGTTATCAACAAGAACAGGCAACAGGCATCAGAAGACCCAACTAACAAATAAACAACAACAACAAAAAACATTGCTGAAAACAAGGGGGATCAGAAAACACACCCAAAGCCCATCTATAAACAATGGGACATCCCCTCACAGAAGGGTCACAAGGGATGAGTCAACCAGGGTGCAGTATAGCACCAATGAAGTACACAATATTCCTCTGGTTTCTTGAGACTTCCTCACCCCCACTATCATGACCCCAGTCCTGCCTTCCACTGTTGGCTAGACTGGAGCATGTGCACAGACACAGGTACAGGTACAGGTAAGAGATAAGAGCTCACACATGGAATCTAGGAATGAGAATAGCGATACCAGGAAGGTGGCGGGAAGATAGGGAAAGAAGGGGAGAAAGAAGGAATCAATGGCAATGATGGACACATAACCACACCACCACCACCACCACCACCACCAGGGAGACAAACAACAGAAACCACAGGGGAAGGGAGACAGCAGTTGGTGTTAGACATGAAAATAAGAATAATTTATAATTTATCAAGAGGAGCTGATACCAAGTGCTCAACAGAAAGTAAATGTTTAGAAAATAATGATGGCAACATATGTACAAATATGCTTGATACAATTGATGTATGGACCATTATAAGAGCTGTAAAAGCCCCCAATAAAATGATCTCTTAATAAAAAGAAAAAGAAGGAAAAAAGTCCTTTCGCAGTCTACATCTCTACCCATACCTTTCCTTACCCCTCGCCCAGTCCCGTGTCACACACTAAATTTCCAAACACATTCAGCGTTGCTAGGTCATGGGAACGGAAAATACCTATGACAACTCACTGCTGTCAAATAGATTCCAACTCATGGCGCCCCCGTGTATA